AAAATCACTAATATGGTTAGAATTGTTTTTGAGTTCTTAGCCTTTTTTTTTTCTTTCTTGTACGGGGAAAGAAAAGGCATACTTTGCTCCTTGTAAAGTAAAATTTTGAACCATGCACCCTATAATTTTATATACTACAATTTTCACTCTTAATTTTTTTAAATTATTGAACAATATAGTCAAAACTCAAGGTGCAAAGTATAACTTCAACACAATTGTTGGGTGCAAAATATTAAAATTTTATTTTATAGGGTATAAAGAGCAAACTAAAAGTTTTTCTATACAAGGGACAAAGGGTAATTTTTGTAAAATTATAGGAAGTAAGATGCCATTAACCCTAAAAATAGTGATTTAGATGGAGTTTTATGTGTTGGAACTTCTAGATCTACCCATCTTCTTTTTGTTCTTCAATTGTCAAATCTTTCAATTATAATTTTACAATTTAGTCCTTCTCTCTCTCGTACAACCATCCATAGAAGGAAAGGGGTTGGATAACAGTGGCAGGTAAAAGTGGAGAATGGGTTGGCATAATCAAAGGAGAAGGCTCGTGGTGATGGATCAAAAAAATTAAATTAGAAAAGATATTTATTGGTTATAATTTTAATTTTTTTTCTCACAATCAATAATAAGAAGGTAATAAATAATTTTTGAATTAATATTAAGGGGTTGTTTGGGGTGTCTTAAATAAGTGTATTTTTTGTCTTTTTAAACTAAAAAATTGAGGAAAAAATATGAATGTTTGGGTTAACTTTTTGACTTTTTATGAAAAATTGTGTATTAAAAAATTCTATAAATTAGTATGTAGGGAAAAATTAGGATTGGGGAAAAATTAGGATTGGGAATTGTGCAGCCGTAATTTTTGACTTTTAGTGAATAGTGATAACTTTTTGACTTTTTGAGTAATTTTTTAAATTTTTGACTTTTTTTCAACTTGCCAAACTTGGCCTAAATAATTACAAAAGTATTTCACATAAAATTTTACAATTAATTTTTGAGTAAAATCAAAAAAAAAGTATTGCGTGTAACTAGTGTATCATGGACAATATTAAAAAAGTCATATATTTAAGTTTTAAAATAAATTATACAATGGTAAGATATATCAAATTTTTACAAAATTTGAGTAGAAATTTTATATAATAGTGATATCACATCATTATTGACATATGATATCACCAACCAATAGTAAAGCAACATATGAAGGGTGAACTCTACATGCAAATATAACTAACACTCTAATAATTTTTACATATATATACTGAAATTAATTATATTTGCATATTAATAATGATGAATATTACCTTTATATTGAGATTTTTTCACGAAATTTTCATACATAAAAGGGCAAATTACACAAATAGTCCCTATAGTTTGAGGTTCGTGTCACTTTGGTCCCTGACTTTTCAATTATGACACATTTGATCTTAAATTTTGAATCTTGTTTCAAATAAAGACAATTAAATATATCATTATTTAATTTCAAGGGTAAAATAGTCAATTTAATAAAATATAAACTAATTTGACAAAAATAAATGTCAAAAAAATATTTTTAATTTTTTAAAAATTATTTTTATCCACTAATGATAAAATTATATAAAATTGATAAAAATTACATAATTAATTTTTTAAAATTAATTTTACATGATCATCATTCAAACACATAATAAAAATTAATTTAGTAAAAAAAATAAATAAATGTCTAAAAAATTTATCAATTTTACATAATTTTATTTTTAGTGGGTAGAAATAATTTTTAAAAATTCAAAAATATTTGTTTGACATTTATTTTTTTCAAACTAGTTTATATTTTATCAAATTGACAATTTTATCCTTGAAAAATCTAATGAAATCTTCAATTGTCCTTATTTGGAACAAGATTTAAAATTCATGGTCAAATGTGTCACATTTAAAAAGTCATGAACCAAAGTGACACAAGTCCCAAACTATAGCGACTATTAGTGTAATTCACCCTACATGAAAATATAATTTGTTATAGTCACTTCATTTTCAATAAAACAATCACTATTATTTTCATAAATTTAAAAATGTCTTTTTGACATTTTATTCTAAATATTATTTTTATTTAAAATTTTATATTTATATACATATATATATATATATATATATAAAAAAAACCAGGAGGGAAGAAAAAAAACCAGGAGGACACGTAACCTCCGGCCAGCATGTGGCTCTGCCACTGGTGATGGAGGTGATTGGTTGAGGATCAAGATTTTTGAGAATGAAGATAAATTTTTTTTTTTTATCTCAAAATAATAGTTTGTTTTGAGAAATTAATTTTTTTTTTTAATAGTATAGTTATTACACTTTAAAAATAATAATTTTTCAAAATTATCTTTTAATAGTATCTTTTTTTTAGAATATCAATTGTCATAATTGTACTTTTTTATTGTTAATTAATTTAAAAGAATGGTAAAACATAAAATTCATATTATTTTAGTCATTGATTTTTGAAAATGGATTAATATTTTATGACAATAAAAAATGAAATAAATGACTAATATTTGGGACAGAGAGAGTATTTTTTTTTTAGCGAATTACACTAACAGTCCCTATAATTTGAGATTTGTGTCACTTTAGTTCCTGACTTTTCAGTTATAATACATTTGATCTTGAATTTTAAATCTCGTTCCAAATAAAGACAATTGAAAATATTGTTACTCCATTTGAAGGGCAAAGTCGTCATACAACTTATTTTGTGTTGGTTAACTTATATTGTTTGAAATATAATGGCTTTGTTTTTAATGAATAATGTTGGAACATATTTGGTTATAAAGTTTTATTTGGTTTGATTTTCAAAATCTATTTTAAGAAAAAAAAAATTAAGAAACTAAAAATAAATTGGTGAAAAAAAATTAAAAACACGTCATTTTTATATAATATTATTTTTTGGAGGGTAGAAATAATTTATTAAAATAATTTTTTTTGATATTTATTTTTGTTAAATTAGTTTTAGTTTTTTAAAAGTCAAACATGGCAACAACTTTGATATCATTATTAAACTAATCCATTAAATCAAAAAATTCAAAACTAAAAATATTTCATATATTAAGCATATCGATTATACATTAAAAGCCTAATAACTATCCATTACACAATAACCATCCAATACACGATAACCATAAAAAAATATCTGTTAACAACAAATATAATCATCTATTACATGATAACCATCTAAAAAGATCAATTAAAACAACCACCTATTGCATGATTATCATTCAAACACATACTAAAAATTAATTTGGTAAAAAAATTAAAAAAATAAAAATGTAAAAGATTTATCATTTTTATATAATTTTATTTTTGGAGAGTAGAAATAAATTTTAAAAATTTAAAAATATTTTTTTGGCATTTATTTTTATCAAACTAGATTATATTTTATCAAATTAACGACTTTGCCCTTGAAATAGAGGAACAATGTCTTCAATTGTCTTTATTTAGACAATATTCAAAATTCATGATTAAATGTATCACAATTAAAAGGTTAGAGATTAAAATAACACAAATCCTAAATTATAGGGACCGTTAGTGTAATGCATTATTTTTTTTTATATATAAATATGCATATAGAGACGAAGAAAAAAAAAAGATTGAATTTGTAGCTACATGTACTTAGAAAAATATGCACATTTAAAAAAAATTAGTGCGCGAAAATAGAAGATCCTTTCTTTATGAGTTAATACATATCATTTGTGCCGTTTAAATATCAATTTTTGAACAAAATATAAATGTTTTGATATCAACTATTGAACAAAAATTTTTATTCGAACAATTAATTTTTATTCAGAAGTTGATATTCAAACATTTTGTTTTTGTTCGAAATTTTATATTTGGACGGCACAAATAATATGTACTAAAATAAAATATGGTGTGCGAATATAATTTTCATTCAAGGGATACTATTTACCCCTTACCTTTTTACTTTGACCTCTATTTTTTTAAACCCCCACCCAACAAAATGAATTCCCCCATTTTCTCTTTGAACCCCGACCTTAATACAAACTCTATCCCAAACCCAAACCCAAACCCAAACCTTAATCCCATCTCACAAACTCCGGCAACCACCGTCAATAGCCAATCCACCGCCTCTCGCCAACTCCTTCTTTCCTCTTCTTCTTATTTTCTTACTTCTACCACCTCCAATGACCCCCTTCCTCCAACAATGACCTCCTCAGTCGCCCTTTTTCTTCTTTCAGTTGCCCTCGCATCTCTCTCTCTCATTTCTTCTCTCTCGTGCGTCACATGTTCCATCGCGACCTAGCCACGTCATAATCTCTACTAGTCCATTGCCTCTCGCCGTCGTGAACTAGATCTAGAAAGAAGAGAGGGACAGAGAGGAAAGAGAAAGAGATAGAGATAAAAAGAGGGTTCAATCTTCTCCACCAAACTCGTGATCTCTCTCTCTTCGTCTTTTTCTTTTTCTTCGCGACTCTCCTTCTCTCTCACAATCTCTACTGGCAATGGTGAATTGAGGAGGGGGCGCGAGATCTAGGGTTAGTGTTTCGGTGGTAATGATAGTGGTAGCGGGCTGTGATAGTAGCGGTACGATGATAAAAGAAGATAGTGCTACCGAAGGTGATAGAATTAGGGTTAAGATTTGAAAAATTAAAGTTAGAGATGAGAGTAGAAATGAAATTTTATCTTTAGACAAATTTAGAAATTAAAAAAAAAAATGAAAGAATGAAAATCCAAAGAAATAAAGTAGAGATAAATAACAGCCCTATTTCCATTCCTTTATGCCTCTATAAATGTCATATTTACAGCTCTATCCTTCCTTTCCCTTTTGTCTTCCACTTCCACCCTCATAAAAGGTTTATCTGCCACTCTCTCTCTCTCCCAAACATTTTTCTTCCTTTATGCCTCTATAAATGTCATATTTACAGCTCTATCCTTCCTTTCCCTTTTGTCTTCCACTTCCACCCTCATAAAAGGTTTATCTGCCACTCTCTCTCTCTCGCTCTCACGCTGTTTGTCTCATGTGTAATTATCAATGCCGATACAATACGTTTTCTCTTGAAATAATCATCTAGAGGAGAGAGAGAGAGAGAGAGAGAGAGAGGTGGTGTGTACTGATGATGGTTGAACGTGGAACCGTAGGAGGGAAAATAGAAAACCCCCAAACTTTTTTTCTTCAATGGAAAATTCTGTTGACGGACCCACCAATTCTTCTCTTCACACCATCAGTAGGCATAAGCATGACCATCCCAAAGCTCTCTCACAATTCCACTTTCCAACCTTTCCTTTTCTTCATCTTCTTCATCACTCACGTCTCTCCTCTGTCCTCTGTTCCTCCACTTTCCTGTCTTTAATGGCTGCCCCATAACCTAACCCCTCTGTCATTGTATATGCGTGGGTCGGTGTTTCAGCCTTCTGGGTCTCTCTCTTTTTGGTCGGTGAAGATTGCCCACAAAGCCCTTCAAAAAAATATCAGATTATTTCCTTTGGGTGTGTGATGGTTTTGGGTATTTCAGGTTCTGTAAAGCTTTTATTTCCTTAGATACCCACTGAGAAAATATTTTCTATTTTGACATTTTTTCTTTTTTTTTCTTTCTTTTTTTCTCCTGGGTTTGTGATGATATGCTTGGAGTGTTCAGAATTTTGATTTGGGTATTTCACAAAGCTTGAGTTTGTTGGGTCTTTAAGTTCTCACTTGGTGTTTCAACCATTTGGGTCTGTTTCGTTTTTGCTCGTTGAAAACACCCAGAAAGCAAATTGGAGATCAGTGTTTCAGAACAATCGGGGCATCATCACTGTGTATTTGGTGATTCCAGGCTTGGATTGTAATTAATAGATGGTTTGAGGTTGAAGATTTGACATTTGAAGGAAATTTCTTGAGTAAGTAATGGTCAAAAAGTGTAGGTGAAATTGATGTATGTAGCGTGGAGAAAGTAAGGTTTTGGGTTGATTCAATGTTTTTGGGATGTGAGTTTAACAGCCTGTAAAGCAAGTTTGGATGACTTCTAAGATTTTGATCAAAATTTCAACTATAAGTTTGATTGTTGATTTAATTTGGTAAATTGAGGTTTGATTGGTGAATAACTGAACTATGAACCAATCATAATCTTGGAAGTGTAGAGTGAACATACTTGGTTTTAATTGATCTTTTGGTCAAAGCGAAGATCAGACTACCATACATGTAATTTGCTGTTTTTGGGGAGAATTTAAGGCACTTGTTAAAGCTTGTGGATGAAAAGTTAGAAAAGAAAGCTTTAATCCCTTGCCAACCCAAGAAAACTTTGGTTCACTGAGCTTGACTCTGTTGGAAAGATTGAGGATTTGAAATTGGAATTTATTCCATCTTCTCAGTGGCCTATCAATTTCAAGGGTTCTGATTTTCAGGTAATTTCTTCTGCCTTTGTTTCCTATTTTGCAAATTTTATCGGTTTCTCAATCATTTCACACAGAAAAACAAATTAATTGTATAATTCTGAATTTCCTTGGCATATTCTCTGCTTAGCATTTAAATTGTAAATGTGAATAACCATCATTGTGACATTGCTGATCCAGAAAATTTGTGCCGCAATTGTGTTAATAGAAGTGCCTCTGTTAGAAACTTAGTTTATATGTATGATGAATACGATCACTTGGTTCAAGGAACAAGCACACTATTTTTAAGGAATAATTGGTGTCCCCTCAAAATGATAATAAAGATGTAGAAGTCATTGGTGTATGATTTATTCGTGCTTCTAAATTGTTCAATAATGCTCTATTTTCTTGTTTTGAAAATCCCAATGTGGCAAGATTCTTTGATCCTTTTTTTTTTAATTTGAATTTTCAATATTTTTACATTTAGATTTTAATATGTTATTTTGTAGATAACTGGCATCAGAAATTTGTATTAGCTCTCTTTGCAATCTCAATGAACAACATAGACTGCCTGTTTTTATTTTTGGCTTCCAAGAGTAGAGGATTATTGCTCTATTTGATTTAGTTTTCGGAATCTATTTTCTAACAAAATTTTTTAAAAACCACAAACTAATTTGGTAGAAAATTATGAAAAAGACTCATCATTTTCATATGTTTTTTTCTTTTTCCGGGTGGAAATAATTTGTGAAAATTCAAAAATGTCTTTTTGGTGTTTATTTTTATCGAACTAGTTTCAATTTTTTTGAAAAACAAATTTTATGACAAAACCAAACAGGAAACTCCTTGCTGAGGGCTTGTGCACCCTTGGGGATTAGTCGGGCTTTGATCTGGACACCCGGGTGCCTATCAAAAATAAAAAACCAAACCAAACAGGGTGTATGTCTTAGTTCTATAAAAACTTCTACTTGCATCCACATTGTTAAATCTCAAAAAATTCTTTTTATGTTGGGGAATAGAGTATATATGGTTCTAATTTGTTATATTGTCAGAAGTGAATTGGAATTTCATGTGCTATATGGCTGTAAAATTTCATATATTTGATTTTTAAGTTGTTCCATGGAAATGAAAATTTCCTTTTTAGTGGTTTTTTTTTGTTTGTTTGTTTGTTGTTGTTGTTGTTTTGTATATCTGTGTTTATCATTTATGAGGTCTCTCATGGCTGTATCAGCAAGGAAATCTGGATGAACAGAATGTGCTGAGTCAAAATTTGGTCATTATGGCAAAGAGATCACAACGACGTCATGTGCGATATGAAAAAGATCAAGCAGGCTGTATATGGGGTTTCATTAGTATGTTTGACTTTCGCAATGGTCGATCAACTCGTAAGCTGCTTTCAGATAGGAGGCATCCAAGCAGACCAGTTGTTGGTAAGAAATTTATATATACATATAAGTGTGTGTGTGTGTATATATCAAGCAAGACAATATTAATCTTTTAATGTTTATGGAATTTTTTAATAATCTGATTCTAGAAAATTACCTGCACTTAACTAGGAACAATGTCTTTGGGGAATGCTTCTGTGTCAGATTATGTATTCTTATTCAACAGGACTTTCTGTTCCTTCATTTTTTCTCTTCTTCTTCTTCTTCTTCTTTTCTTTTTTTTTTTTTTTTTTTTTGACTTGCAATTGTTTTCTTTCTGAATTTTGACTCATGGAGGTCTAGGAGTATGTTTGTTGGTTGTTACGTATATACAAAATTCTTTCACTTCCCACAAATAAAACTGTCAAAGAAGTAGCTTCTATTTTTTTTTTGGAACCATAATTCATAATTTAAAACACGCTTTTAGGTGAAAAAATGTCTGTTTTCTTAAAATGTTGGCACCAAAAGCATATGTAGGAATGATACACGACACACAAATTTTTGTATTTTGCAAATGGTTTTCTCCATGTCTAATTATTGATTTTTCTTTTCCCTTTCCCACAGGTGCTGGATACTCTAGGTCTAAGCTGCACATGCTGTCAAACTCCAACATTAATGCTCAAGAAATTTATGTACGTATTGACAACTTATATTCATATTGTAATGCAAACCTTACTTGGAAATCAGAATGATAGTATGTGGGATAGGGAGGGGTACGAGGGGATGATTTGCAACATCGGTCAACTTAGGCTTTCATGACATTTTGTTGAGCAAAAAAATTAGAAGGAAAATTTTATATGACATCTATGAGGCCGGGGATGCTTTATGGGACGGAATGTTGGGAGCTAAGAAAAATCTCTTTATGAAATGAATGAGTGTAATTGAGATGAGAATGCTTAGATGGATGTATGGTAAGATTAGGAAAAGTAGAATTAAAAAAATGACTATATTCATGAAATGGGAGTAACACCAATTGAAGATATGTTGAGAGAAAACAAAACAGACTAAGATGGTTTGGTTAGGTACAACGAAAATCTAAGGAAGAATGATATGATCACCATAAATGCAAATGTTACAGGGAGGGAAAACTGAAACTGACATGGGATGTGGTAGTAAAAAATTATTTGAATTTATTTAATTTAACCGAGTATATAGCCATAGAGTAGAATAGCGAAAAAGGATTCATTCAATCGATCCCACTTGTTTGGGACATAAGGCTTATTTTGGTTTGGTATTATGGCTTTTGTGGAATTGATTAGCTTTGAAATTGTTTCAGGATGGTGAAGAAAGAGCCACTATGATAGCTGATGCTGCTAAGACAAGTGTAAAGGAACTTATGGAAGAAGAGATGTTCACCGAACAAGACCCGAAGAGGCCAGTGAGTAGTGCGGACACAGAAGCCAAAGAATCTGATTCAGAACGTCCTCTACGTGTGAAAAAGAACCGAAAGCGAACAAGCAAAACCAGCAAGAGTTCTGGTGACATACATTGCGAGTTTGATGCTGCTGAAAACCTGGGACCAGAAAACTCTAGTCATCGAGTTTCAGAGGAAAAATCTTCGAAAAATCTTGATCTGGAAGTAGTAGTGAACGAGCTCTGCCAGAAAATCCGTCAGAAAAGTACTAGCCATGCAAAGCATGACTCAAACATTGATCCTGTCATGCAGTCTGAGCAGACTTATTCTGTGTTTGGCGAAAAATTAAAAGAGGCAATTAAGGCGTTTTTAGATCAGAGGAGTACAGATGGGAAGCATCCAACAGAAGATGGTAAAATTGATCAATCAAAAGAATTTATGGATGCACTTCAGACATCAAGATCAAACAAAGAATTGATTTTGGAACTCCTAAAGGGTCCGAACTCACTGCTCATGAAGCACATTGAAGACTTGGAGGGTGCTCGGTTAGAGAAAGACCGAACTTCCAATTCATTGGCACTAAATAACTCAAAACCGCATGTATCTGTTGTTCGTAAGCAGCACAATTTCTTCAGGAGACGGAGCAAGTCTCAGGAAAAAATCTCATTAATGGGAAATGAAAATTGTCAAACTTCGAATAGAATTGTCATTTTAAAGCCTGGACGGGCGGGCGTGAAAATTTCCGAAACTGAAAGAAAGCTTAGCCCATCATTGCAATCTGATTACGGGTTTGGAACTAAAGTGCAGACCGAGAAAATTGCTTCCCAGTTTTCTTTTACTGAAATTAAAAGAAAGTTAAAGAATGCTATGGGAAAGGAGCGGCATAGAGTCCCTTCGGATGATATTATGTATAGATTTCCTAATGAGCGTCAATACTCAGGAAATACTGACAAAGTTGGATGGAATTCTCCAAACAGAAACCATTTCTATAATGAAAGATTTGCCAGACCTAACATTGGTATCAAGAACAAAGACAAGAGTTATAAGTCAAAAGACACTGAAAAAGGGATGGGAAATGGAACTGTTGAATATGCCGAGCAAAGGGTATCGAACATCTATGTCGAGGCAAAGAAACATCTCTCGGAAATGCTGAACGATGGAGATGAAATTGAGGATTTTTCAAGCAGGCAATTACCAAAAACATTGGGAAGGATTCTTTCTCTTCCTGAGTTCAACTTCTCTCCCATTTACAGCCCCGGGCACAGTTTTGTAACAGCACAGCAGAGATTTTGCTCTCACAACAATTTTCACGTGGTCAATGAGGACACACTGCGGCTTCAAGAAAATCGTGGCATTCATCCAAGTCCTTCAAGGCAAAACTTAAATAGTCAATCGTGCATTAGTGCCCATCCTGAAGAAAAAGTACAACCTTGTAACTCAAATTCAGATGATGCTGTGGATGAGCTTGATAATGCTAACATAGTGGAAGGAACCTTGTGTTCTATGAGACCTGAGAATAGTTCTGAAGGTATTGTTTTCTCCATTCTTCAACTTGCGTCGATGAGTATTCTATTAAGGATTTGTTAACGTGTGCCCTTAAGGCACATGTTAACAAGTTCAAAAAGATTGTACATTTTGCTATGCAACAAGGAATGTACAATCTTTTTAAGCTCTCTTAGCATGTGCTCTAAGGGCAAGCATTAACAAGACCCGTCTATTAAATCTTGCGTTGAATACTGATTTATCGGTTCATAAAAATGGTTCAGATGATGTGACGATTGTACAAACAGCTGATGTATTAGTCCAGGAAGAGAGCAAAGTCTTGGACATTTCAGATGAACAATGTAGCCCTTCAGTTGTTGGAGATGACCAAAACGGTGATCTTGCTGAAGTTTGTGACGAAGAGGAATCTGCCCAATGCTTGAAATTGGTAAAGTCTTATCGCTCATTGGTGTTTCTGTGGTGCAAACAGTATTATGGTTTTGAATTTTTCATTTTCAAAGCTTTCAAATGCCTTTTAGTACGAAACAAGTTATGCTTACATTCATAAATATAGTTTGCTATCCATTAAAGCTGAATGGTGTGCTTTTGCAAGTCTTCTGTTTCCCTACCTTTCACCAAGGAGTTTCCATGAGAAAACACAACTCGTATCAAAGCATTTCAGAAGAGCAGTCTCTTAGATTAAAAAGCATTGGAACTATTGTGGAAAATGTTTAGAACCACGATTATGCATCACTATTATGATTTATTGTGTTTTAAAGGGCCATCGTTTGTCGCCAAGGCCATAATCTGGTCTGTCAGGCTCTTACCTGGGCCAAGCCCATATCTCAGGCAGGCCAGGCTTGCCTATCTGGGCCAAGCCATTGGACGGGACTTGGATCTAAGATTTTAGTCCCCGTATCAGCCTGGCCCACCAAAAAAGCTCATCAGACTTAGCCCGAAGGTGGGCCTAGGCACCAGTTTCATGAGCTGAGCCGGGTGAGGCCAATGCCGACCCTAGTTGTGTTTTATTGGCCGTGTTTGGTTTGCTTTTGAGAAATAAATTTTGGAAAAAAAATTTCAAAATTTTGTTTGGTTAAGTGATTTTGGAAAAAAAAAAAAAAAATTCAAAATCACTTTCTCTCTTCTACACATCAATCAATCACTTTTTCTCTCTCCTCTCTCTTTATTAATCGCTTTTTCTCGCACACACATCTATTCAATTACAGCAAAATATCAAATCATCTCAAACTCTCATACTCCAAAACTATTTTCAAAATATACAACCAAACAAACCAAAACATATTCTAAACTCTCCCCAAAATCTTTTTTGAAAATTTATCTCCCAAAACCAAACCAAACACACCCATTGTTTCTGTCCCCTCATGTTTTTAACACGCTCTTATTGCAATTTTCTTCTTTTGATATTTTTTGTCAGGACTCATTTGAACAGGAGCAATTAACGTCTTCTCCATTAACATCCCCACAAAGCTCTTCAATCACCGTGCAAGTTGGAGATTCAGATGGTGCTAATGAAAAAACAGAGCGGCCCAGTCCTGTATCTGTGCTTGAGCCAATATTCACGGAAGATGACATCAGCCCCGCAGGCACCAAATCTCAACCCGGTATAAAACCATGTACATCTAATATTTATTTCATGTATATGTCACATTGTTATTGTGTTTTGAGTTGAGCCCCAAAAATGTGCAGTTGAACCTCCGATTCAACCACTCCAGATCCATTTCGAAGAACAGCTCTCTTCTGCTACAAATCAAGAAATTTGTGTAAGCGTTTGTTTGGATGATGAGGAATCAGCATTTGAATACGTTGAAGCAATACTTCTGGCATCTGACTTGAATTGGGAAGAATTTCTCTTGAGATGGCTTTCTTCGGATGAAATTCTTGACGCGTCATTGTTTGATGAAGTAGAGTTGTTTTCAAACCGTCCTTGGTATGACCAAAAGCTCCTCTTTGATTGTACCAATGAAGTTCTCAAGGAGGTTTGTGAGAGGTATTTTGGTTACTCCCCGTGGGTATCATTTGTAAAGCATAACATTCGGCCAATCCCAAGAGGGAAAGATCTCATTCATGAGGTATGGGAAGGAGTTGAATGGGATCTTCTTCCGGAAGCTTCTCCTCGGACGTTAGACCAAATTGTTCGAAAAGACATGGCAAAAATCGGAACGTGGATGGACCTCCAATTCGATGTTGAGAGTGTTGGTGTCGACATTGGAGAAGCCGTTTTTGAAGAATTGGTGGAAGACGCTATATCGAGCTTCGTAAATGAAGGTTCACAAATTGATTGATGAAAATGAATAACATCGATTTTGTGAAATGAGAGGCAACTTCATTTCGTTCTTCGCAAGAGGTGCACCCACCTTGAGTTGACACAGGAGGGAGGTAAGTGGGTTGTGTTTTGACATCTCACCAGGTTAGGTTAGGCCTCATCTCGCGCTCACTGAGAGCTTTCTATAGAGAATTTGATACGACTTTATCTACTGAAATCATATGGATGTGTTAAAATTTTCTAAAGTTCATCCAAAACTAGCTCAGGAACTCTCCTGGAAAAAGCTGTGAAACAAACAATCCTTATTATATATATAGTGTTGATCATTGTATAATTTGTAGAGTTTGGTGTGTGGATTGTGTGTTGTACTTGACCTGTTTGTTTGAGAAATTTCTTTGTTTTGTTGTTTGATACCATTCATTTATGTTTTTGTTATCTGTGTTTGATTTTATATGGTTCTTTGTCTATGCAGTTAGACATTTGTGGGTAATTTGAGTGGGTGATTACTAGTCAGTTTTTGTTGAAAAAACAAATTACATAATGGTGTCTTACAGGTACTTGTATGCATTTGAATTGATTTTTACTTCATTGCTCTTTTTTCTTTTCTTTTCTTTTCCCTTCATAAATCGAAGATCCGAACGCTAGCTGGATTATGGGTTTGGGTAGAAATTTAAAAAGAGAAAGAAAAGGTGGATGAAATGTAAGTGAGATGTAACTATTTTTCATTCATATTCCACTTATCTTTTTCTTTTCTTTTTCCTTTTTTTTGTTTTTTTTTTTTCCTTCTAAATTCTTACCCAAATTCATATCCATGATCCAAAATGAAATTACTACTTCCCTGTTTGGAAACCACATGTCAAACTTCCAGCTAGTCTATGACTTTGGAGGCATAGTATTGACAATGAGTACCATTTCATTGATTAGGAAAGGGATAGAAAGCAAGGGCTATCCATTGGTCATACTTCTAACCATTATCATATATTGTTTGTTTTTAGAGAAAAAAATAATGAAGATTTTTTGAAAAAATCATTATTTTTATTCCAACAGGACTACAAACACATTAGACAAATCCAACTCTACATATCAAATGGTTGAAAAAACAAAACAAAACAAAAATACAACCAAACAAGATAATTATCTTGATGCTCTCATAGTTTTTCGCAAGCATCTGAAAAGACGTTGCATACTGGATTTAGAATGCAAAGACATTTCCTTGACAGAAGATGGATGAGAAGAAAAAATCTATGCTAAAGCATACCGTCATTAAATCACATGAAAATTTTGAGACACGAAAATTTCAAAACAATTCAACCATTTTAAGTGTTTTAAGGCTGCTCGCCGTACCAAAATACCAAAAAAATTAAGCAACAAATATATGGTGGTCAATGATATGTTTTCTATTCTAAAACATACTGTCATTAGATCACATGAAATTTTTTTTCTAATACAAGAATCTCAAAACATAATTTAACAGTGTAAGTGTTTTGAGGTGGGAGAGTAGAAGATTACATTCCAAACATAACTTCTGTAATAAATACTTGAGAAAATTACATATACCCCTCGAGATTTGGTTAAATTACAAATACCCCTAAAGTTTGAGAAATTACAAATTCCCCCCTAAATGCTATATTTGCATAACAAATTAGGAGGTAATTTGTTATGAAATTTAAACCTCAAGGGGCAAATTGTTATGAAAATACAAACCTTAGGGGGCGGGATGTAATTTCTGAAACTTCAAGGGGTATCTGTAATTTAGCCAAACCTCAAGGGAGGTATATATAATTTGCCCTAAATACTTTAATGAAAAGGGTTTGAGAACACACTTTAACAGATGAAAAGGCACAAGCATAAGTAACATGTCTAGAGCTCATAAAGCTCTCAAACAGTGCTATTAATTAAAGCAAAAAGATAACATTGCTATTTTGTGCATTCCCTATAACTAACGTTTAATGACATAAAGATCTATGGTATTTTGGAGCGCATAGTTATTGAAAGTTACAGCCCAATTCTCAAAATATGGAGGAGGAGCTGAGAGACCTGTTAAGATTTTAATTAAAAGGTTGGACTTGCGATAAATTCGGGCCCACTAATCTTGGGCTATTGGGCCTAAATAATTTAGTGGGCTCAAATTAGCCCCTCTTACAAAAGGATAATCACAGAATAAGAGATCAGACTTCTAAGATTGCTTCTTCTGCTTCTTCTTTGTTTGTAAAGATGAGGCCAAGGGCACTACTCTCTTCTTGGCAAATAGGTTTGTTCTGCTCTCTAAATTCTCCTCGTCATCATCATCTTCTTCTTCTTTACTATCATGTTTAAATTCCTCTCTACTTTTGGCGGCTTTTCTTTTTCCAACATCTAATTTAGCATGCAATTTCCTTTCAACAGGATCATTTAAAGGCCCAACAACCTTGGATTGCCGTGGAACTGTTGCACCTAATCCGAGCCTGTACAGATGTATGAACAAATTAAACAAAATTGCTTTGATTTGCACAATTATAACCATGTAAACAAGCATACAGACCTAGCAGGTCGAGCCTCTAATTGTACTTCTGTTGATTTGTCTTCCGTGGATTTAGTCATATTATTAACCCATTTTTCAGCCTGCATATAAGCATTATATAAAGTTTATCAGCACAAGCAATGGAAGATGATGGCAAAACAATCACAGTATCTACCAAACCTCGAAAATAACTCAGATCAAACTAATTGTCACACAATTATGAAGAATTAGGAGCAAAATAATAAAGTGCATGAAGAAGGAACCGATGATGAAGCCAATTTATCTTCATATGAAGAAGAAAGTCTAAACTTCAGGGATCCAATTATAAATAAATCAATCAAAATAACAAGCAAACATTTAAACTGGAGTTTTTTCCCCAAACCCATGTTTTTTGCAGACATATTTGCCAAACCCAAATCATCATAAACATATTTACAAAATGCAAGTTGTTTTGTGAAGTCATGAGTTAAAAACCCAACTTGAAGTCCGAAGTTGTGTTTTCAAAACACGACCTCAATTAATTTATCATAAAACTCATCAGAGTTTAGTTTTTAAATGCTTAAAGTTGTATGCAGTCATGTATAAAACAACTTGGGTTTGGTAAATAAGTTCAGAACCACTAAACTTTTAAAAAAACTAGGACTTAAAAAATAACTCATTTAAAATAGTCTTCACCTAAATATTTCCATGCTGTAGTAGAAAGTGTATCGTCTCATCTTAGACAATATGTAAAGTAATGAGACATGTTTCAACCTTCCAAGGTAATGCTGCACACACAGGTGCATGCACAAGAAGCAATAGAAATAATTTGATTCTGAAGGTGTAAACCAAAAACGGTAGTTACCAATTTCAGTGCCTTGTCTAACTTCACTAGTTGAGGGCGAGAGTTCTTTTTGGCCAACTCCTCCATGCTCATCTCAACTTCTTTGCCAGCTTAAACATTAACAAAACATATAATCAAACCAAGAGAAACAAAAATCATAAAGCAAAACAACTTGAAAATAAATAAATAAATAAGTGTTTCATTATATAACAGTGTTACCTCTATCAAACAGGTTATAGCTGTTTTCTATATCTCAAAACAGGTTTGCACAAGATGATGCCACTGCTTTGTTCAAGAATATAAGAACATTAACTTGCATATGCAAACATACATGTATAAAGGAAACAAATTCAACGAACACAAAACAACAAGCACCTGAGCATTGGTAAGGGCATCTCTAGCCCCTACCATTTACCGATATAAAATTCAAATATGAGTAAAAAAACTTCCTAAACCATTGCCACTCGTTTACTCAAACAAAAATGTTTACTCAAAATTTTGAAGGCTCTTTTGTGGCTTTTAAAAAATCTACCACTCTGTCATTTTTATTATTATTTTCTTTTTGATAAATAAATAAATTTTATAAAACAAAGAGCATCAAAGAGATGCAAAAGAATACAAAGAACTAGCCAATCACATCATCTAAAAGGTCTAAAAAAAGTAATCAAATCTGGATCCGCCTTCCCAGATACCCAACCACACAAAACTCAAAGAAACCTATTCTCTAACCATGACAAAGACGGAGCCACCCCCAGGAAAATGTGATGATTCCACTCCAACCAAAGCAACCACATTAAACACAAAAGAACCAACATGTCCAAGCCTTTCGACGCCTCTTCCCACCCTGCCCCCCTCCCCAACTCCAAAGAACCTCTACCACCCCTTTCTCCTAAACCTACACCACACCAAAGGTAGAAAAAAATCAACGTCCACAACCGACAAGCCACCGAACATTGAATTAACAAATGATCCACCAATTTCACATCCACACAACACATACAACACTAATTTACCAAAACAAGACCACTTCGAACCAAATTATTAATAGTAAGAATCCTATAACAGATCGTTGTCTGCACAAAAAAAAAGCCACCTTAGAAGGAACACCTGCAACCCAAACCCGTCACCAAGGAAACTCCCCTTCCATATCATCACACAAAACTCAATAAAAAGACGATACCGAGAAAACACCTTTAGAACCCACCCCCACCGCCGCACCTAAAACCAGAATTTCCCCTCCCCCTCCCCCTGAAGGTCCAGGAGCATCGTCATTAGCGCCGTCATCTGAGCCTGAGTCAGTGCCATCTCTGGTCTCCTCCCCCTCCTCCTCCGCTTCCGCCTCCGCCTCCGCCTCCTCCTACATGCACCCCATAAAGAAAGGTCATTAAGTCCAATAATTGGCCCACCTCCAATCATGAACTTGCCAGTAGAGAAGCTTTTACTCAAATTTATGCTTTAATATGAGTTTGTCCATCATAGTGCTTCATTCATTCCTATATTACCCTTCGTAACTCCCAACACAAATTTTATAGCATCTCTTTTTTACAAGCACACCCATGAGTATACATGATTGAGTAAAGTTTGGAGATGGCTTACGCATCTCCAATCCTTACCCTTTACTCGTACCAAATTTAAATTTGAGGAAAAATCTTCAAAATCTCTCCACTCCATTACTCAAACTCATAGCAAAATGAGTTTTACTCTAACAAAGGGCGAATTTATTTTTACCCTAATTCCGACAAGCTATTTGTTTGTCATAACAACTTCTAAATTTACAATTGTACAACTTAACAAACTTCTACTCAAATTTGAGTTTGGCTATTTGAGTACTCCATATCAAATGAAATTTTTACTCAAATCTAAGAAAAAATATTAGTTAACCATTTTAGAACATCTTCAATCATTCCCCAATTCTGTCATCAAATTAATTGGATGAATAAAGGGCTAAAAATCCAATCATTTCATCAAAACTTATATCAAATCAAGGGAGAGGAATTTCCAAAAGATGAACCAAATCCATCGCCAAATTTTCAACATTCATAATTTTACTCAAATTTGATGAAATTGCAAAAAAGTTGGGATTTAAAATGATTTTCTTTTATCAAAAATGGTTAAACAAGTTTTTACAATAAGTGAAATCATCGTTTTTATAATAAGTTTGGAATTTTTCAAAAAGATTATCTAAAAAAAAGAAAAATTACGATAAAAAAACCTCATGGTTTGACCCTTGTAACAAAATAAACCTTGAATTTTTTATTTTGTCAATTTAAACTCTAATATTTTAATTTGTTTTCAATCTAAACCACATGCCTATTTTCATTGAGTAAAACCAATGGAAAAAAATGATATTTTGGACATTTTACATACACCTACCCTTTTATTGTAACGAAAATAAAAGAATAGTTTAGACTGAAAATAAATCAAAATATTAGAGTTTAAATTGACAAAATTAAAAATCAACATATATTTTGTTACAATCAAACCATGGGTTTTGTTTTTAATTTCCCCTAAAAATAAAAATAAAAAGAGTAAGGATTCGATCAATTTTTTAACCAAATTTTCAATCAAATTTGATAAATAAATAAATAATTAACGATTGGAGATCGTCTTGGAACCTATAAACATTACCCCCCTTCCCCCCCCCCCCCCAAAAAAAAAAAGAACAAAAAAACCCTAATTCATAATGCAACTTCCTCGGGATTGATAATTGAACTGTTGCCTTGCAAATCTTAGAATTGATTCAAAAGAATATACAAACACAGGTAATCATATACATGTTTAAATGGGTTCAAAACAATGGGGGTTTTTCTGTTTCTTTTTTCTAGTTATTTGAGATAGATGGGTGTGCCTCACTGTGTTTGCATTTAAAAGAATGTTCAAAAACCCTAACTGGATTAAGCGCCACTGGTACAACTCCAACTGAAAATTATGCCATAGATATCAAACACACCTCAAGAATCAAGAACCAAACAAAGAATTGAATCTCCTGAACAAATTAATTATGTTTCTAAATTCGGGAGGACAAGTCTACATGTCTCTCGGAAGGCTTTGAAAAACTAGGGTTTTGGATGTAGCTACACCAGAAATTGATCAAATTACTCTGAACCCAATAACATATATTCAATAACTGAACCATTCATCAACCCAGTTCACTCAATAAAGAATGCAATACAAAATCAAAGAACACTAAAAACAAAACCAAAAACAAAAATAAAAAATACAAAGAAGATGCCTAACCAGTATGAATCAATAGAAGACGAACTGAATTGAATGAAACTTGAAAAAAAATTTGCTGAACCCAAGTAACAGTACAATGTGCATGCATACACACCCAAATCATCAAATATATGATCAGAAATTTGAAGCATCAATAGATTTTACAAGTGGAATCAAACATACCTCAAGAATCGATAACCAAACAAACAATTGAACCACTTGAAGTTGGGAATCCCAACTGCTCGAACTGAGAGTTTTTCCAGCAGAAGTCGAAACTAGGGTTTTGGAAGAATAAATAAAAAGTGGCGCAACTGAAGTGGAAACCGTGTTCGCAATTGTTGTACACCACCACCTCTGCCTCTAACCTTCGGAGTACATGCGACGCATCTCAAACTAGAGACATCCTTGGGAACGTATGTCGAGGTCTGGATAGCGACGCCGGCTGGTCGTGGAAGGTTCGGATGGCGGTAAAGGTATCTGGGGAATAGGTAATCGGCAGAGGAAGAGAGAGGGTTAGGGTTTGGAGAGGAAGAGATAGAGAGATAAGGAGAGAGAGGAGTGAGTTTGTGATGTTCACTTTTTGTTTTTTTTTTGGGTACCGTGTATGTGATATATATGTTTGGTATTTTTTTCAAAATAAGTCAAAATATCAAGTTATTTTTCAAATTAGGTCTAGTTTGAATTGAATTTTTAAATTAAGTTAAAGTGTTATTACAAATCATACTTTTACTGTTTACAAAGCATAGTTACAAATCACGCTTTTAATTAAGAAAACGTGATTACAAACCACGCTTTTAAGTAAAGTCAAGTTTAGCAAGTTTAAAAAAAATCAAAAAATCAAAAAGTTAGTCAAAAAGTTATCACTATTCATCAAAAGTCAAAAATTACGGTTGCACAACTCTCAATCTTAATTTTTATCCTAATTTTCTTCTACAAACCATTTTTTTATAATTTTTTATTACACATTTTTCTATAAAAAGTCAAAAAGTTAATCCAAATATTAGGGGTGGGCAACGGTTTATCCGACCCGCACAACCCGCTCAAACCGACTCTACCCGCACAAATTCGACCCTACCCGCATGCATAAATAGGGCGGGGTCGGGTCTATTTTTCCATACAAAATCGGGTTCGGGTCAGACCCGAACCTACCCTTGCAAATTCGCAACCCGCCCACATGACCCGCAGCTTATGTTTAAAAGAAAAAAAAATCTAGGTATGTATGTCTCTCTCAAATTCATTTTTTTATCCTCCTTTCTCTCTCTACCTAGTCGTCTCTCATTTTCTCTCATTTGCTATGTCTCTCACTCTCTCACTTTCTCTCTCTCGCCTACCTCTCTTTTCATCCCCTTCCTGTCGCCATCGCTCTCCTCTCCTCTACCGCCGTTGTCGTCTCTCCATCCCCTCCTCTTCTCCCTGTCGCAGTGTCGCCGTTGCCCCAAACCAGATCTAGAGATGGCAGATTTGGAAGATCTACAGCAAAAAAAAAAAAAAAAAAAAAAACCGAAGGTACCTCGCCCAGATCTTTTCTCTCCTCCATTTATTTATGATTTGTAGACTTGTTTTGCCGTGGGTTTGTAACTTTTTGCTTATTTTATTTAATACAAGAATATGCTTTTGGTTGTGTTGTGGTTGTGGGTTTGCAAAGGGGTTTGTAACATTTTGCTTTGATTATTTAACAAAAGAAAATGTTTTTATTGTTGAATAATAATAATAATAATAATAATAATAATAATAATCTGTTTAAAAAAAAACTGTGGAAAAAATAATCTGAATAATAATCTGTTTAATAATAATATAATAATAATAATAATAATAATAATAATCTGTTTAAAAAAAAACTGTGGAAAAAATAATCTGAATAATAATCTGTTTAATAATAATCTAAATAATAATAATAATCTGTTTAATAATCTGAATAATAATAATAATCTGTTTAATAATAATTTGAATAATAATCTGTTTAATAATAATTTGAATAATAATCTGTTTAATAATTTGCATAATAATAATAATTTGAATAATAATAATAATAACCTATTTAACAAAAAAAACTGCCGAAAAAAATCTATCAAAAGAAAAAATCGCTCAGTTGCAATTTTGCACTCTATTGAAGCAAAAAATAAATTAAAAAATAATTCCCAAACCGCCCGCACAACCGCATGACCCACCCGTTCAATCCGCAACCCGCACTGCGGGCGGACGCGGTTCCATTTTTTCCCAACCCGCACCCCATCGGGCGGGTCCAACCTGTCAACCGAACCGCACGAAACCGATCCGTGGACACCCCTACCAAATATCCATATTTTTTTTTCTCAATTTTTTAGTCCAAAAAGATAAAAAGTGTACTTATTATTTAAGACTCCTCAAACAATCTCTAAAATTTATTTTTTTCCAAAAAACGTGATTTCGAATCACGTTTGTACTGTTCATCAAAGAGTTGCTGATAATCACGTTTTGAAACAAAATGTGAAAACGTACGAACCACGTTTTCAACCAAAACACAAAGGTTGCGTTTGGTAGAGTTTTGTAAATATAATTTGAGAGTATGAGTTGTATTTTGAGTTTGTGAGTTGTGGAATTATGATTTGAGTATAAAAACTTTGTTTGATTATGGTTTTTGAAGAGAGTGTTGAATTGGGTTTTGAAAGTTTGATTTGACATATGAAGTAAGAAAATTTGTTTGGTTTATGAGTTTTGGAAAGAGTTTTCAAAACTTAATTCAAATTGTTATAACTCATAACAAACACACTACTTTCACATTATTGAAAATGCTGATCAATACTCATAACCAAACTCTTTTTAAAATTCAATTAAAAAAATTTATTATTAACAGAAAATAACATTAATCAATTTTTTAATTGAAAATACTACAAAGGAAATAATTTTTTTTTCAAAATAAATATTCAAAAAATTTAAATAATTTAAAATGTTAATATTTTAAATTTAAAAACAACTCTACACTCAAATCGTAACCAAACACATAAAACAAAACTCAATTAAGAAATTATTTTTAAAACTCATAACCAAACATATTACTCGAACTCCATACTACTTTCACAACTCTACAGTCAAATCATAACCAAATACATAACAAAAAAAATAAAATATTTAAAAATATTTTTATAAAATAGAGTTTGAATTTATTTTAATAAAATATTTTAAAATTTAAAAAATGAGAATCGTAATATTTTGAAATTAAAATATTTAAAAATATTCAAAAAAATAAAAAATTGTAACATATTGTGGGGTTATTTGATTGTTGCATGTGTACAGCAATTGCAGCACCATGCCAAGACTTACACAAAAGCAGCTCTAAGAGCAACTCCAAGGGAATAGGCATATTGGTCCTGTTAGGTATTTTAGTTAATATTACCCTAATATTTTGACTCCAATGGACTGGCTAAATGGCTTCCTATTTTTCCCCATGCCTTCTCCGCTTGCTACAATTGGAAAGTGATTAAAGGCCTCTTTGTCTTCCCATTTTATGCAACTCATAAACCCCCCTCTCTCTCTCTCTCTCTCTCTCTATTTTCAACTCTTCCCCTCCCATATCTACAAAACCCAAAATTGAAACCCCCTATCTGTGAATCCTTTTTTTCCCTTTTGATTTTTAGTTCCCCTTCTATGAACCCCCTTTTTTTTACCCATCTCTGCGAAAGCCCCTTCCCAAATCCATCTTCGAACCCCCATCCATTCTTGTTCGTCTATTCCTACATGTTCTTTTCTATGATCATTTTATATAGTTGATTATTATTTGCTATTATAATATTATATATATATATATATTTAATATTGGTCCCAAATTTATAAAATAAAATTTATATATATTAAAAAAATGTGAGTGTGGTGGGTGTGTGTGTATGTGTGAGAGAGAGAGAGAGAGAGAGTGTGTGTGTGTGTGTGTGTGAGTGTCAGTGTGAGAATGAAAATGAAGAGTGAGTGCAACAGTGAAAACGTGTTTTCAAAAGACGTTTTTATGATTTCATTAAAAGCGCGGTTCCTAATCACGTTTTCTGGAAAAAAAATGTATAAAATTTATTTTTTAGGGTTTAGGATTTATTTTTTTTATAAAATTGAAGTTAAAATAAAATTTAAGAATTAAACTATAAATCCTAAATCCTAAAATAAAAATAAATAAATTTTAAGAATTAATCCCTAAACCCTAAAATAAAATTAAAAAAATTTATCCCTAAACCCTAAAATAAAAAAAATTAAGAATTAAACCCTAAATCTTAAACCTTAAAATAAAAAAAATAAATTTTAAGAATTAAAGTAAAATAGTAAAAAAATTATATAGTTGATTATTATTTGCTATTATAAATTATTATTATATATATTTAATATTTGTCTCAATTTTATAAAATAAAATTTATATATATTAAAAATTATATATGGATGTGAGAGAGAGTGAGTGAGTGTTAGTGAGTGTGTGAGAAAGAAGATGTTGGGTTTGTGTTTTGGTTGAAAACGTGGTTTGTAATCACATTTTCACATTTTGTTTAAAAACGTGATTAACAGCTACTCTGTGATGAACAGTAAAAGCGTGATTCGAAATAACGTTTTCTGGAAAAAAAAAAAATTACTTAAAAGCGTGGTTTGTAGCCACACTTTTACTATTTCACAAATTTTTCGCGGGAGGGGCCTGGAAACAGTGAAAGCACGGTTTGTAATAGCGTTTTAGCCTAGTTTGGGAATTCCGTCCAAACTAGGCCTAGTTTGGAAAATAACTTGATATTTTAGCTTATTTTGGGAAAAGCCCTTATATGTTAGCCAAAGATTATTTACATTTTAATTTTATTAATTTTGATTATTGACAAATATTTTGAGTTTATTTAATTATTTAAAATTTTCAAAATATTCTTATATCTTTGCTCTCCAAAGATATATGCTTCTAAATTATTATATTCTCACAAGTATTGGTACCTAAAAGCAATAGAAGATGTATACTTGTGCAAATGTTACTCTTACTTAAAACAGGTCATAGGGTCGACATTAAGTTTTGATGGGGTCGACACCAAAAAACAGTGAGCAAAGCTTTGGTGTTCAACCGCAAAGGGTTGATACCAAAAACATGATAGCGTCGACACCAAAAAACAATGAGCAAAGCTTTGGCTATCCAGTAGCAAAGGGTCGACACCGTGAACATAACAAGATCGATACCAAAAGATAGAGAACAAAGTTTAAGGGTGTGTTTGGTTTGTTTTTGAGAGAGTGATTTAAAAAAAAAAATGGGGAGAGGGTTCAATTTTTTTTTTTGTTTGTTTGGTTGTATATTTTGAAAGTAGTTTTGGAGTTTGAGCGTTTTGGATGATTTGATACTTTGTTATAATTGATTAGATGTGTGTGAGAGAAAAAGAAAGAAATGAGAAAAAATGATTGATTGATATATAAGAAAGAGAAAATGATTTTGAAATTTAAAAAAAAAAAATTACAAACCAAACAAAATTTTGGAATTTTTTTTTAAAAACAACTCTCTTAAAAACAAACCAAACAAGCCCTAAGTCTTCCAGCAGCAAAGGGTTGGTACCAAAACTACAAGGGTTAACACCCTTAAATTTGGGTTTCAAAACATGTCCGCCAA